AAAGAAAGAAAGAAAGAAAGAAAGAAAGAAAGAAAGAAAGAAAGAAAAGGTCCTCTGTGTTTCAAAGGCTGGCCTCAAATCCTAAAAACCCAGGGACCTGATCTTCAATACATTAGTATAGCTGCATATGCTGATTTATACCTGCTGAGGATCCAGTCCATAATTGCAGGCAACTATTAAGAATAAAAGGCAGCTGAAAGCCTGAGAGTTTTCTAACCTACTATATTTATCCATTTGAACCTCACTGTTCTTCCAACGCTCAGTAAATAACCCTGGCTTACAAGGATCACCCTCTAGTGGGTGTTCGTTTCTTTCTGTTCTCCTCTCCTGGGATGACTTCTCTTAAGCAACAGTTAGAACCTATGCCAAATGTGCAGAGGGAATAAAAGAAGGAAACCACAAACCTCAATTTACATCAAGGCATTTTGATAAAAAATATGAAAATTCTACATGAAGGTTAGTGACTGAGGTTAATTATTGCCCATGGTAATAAGCAGAGCACATGTTGCACAAACATCTGATGACTGTACATCTGTTTTTTCCAAAAACTGTACTTGTGTGAAATTTGTGGATTTGTCCCTACAGATATCAAATCTTTCATCTTCTATTCATACTTAATGCTTTAAAAAAATTTGGCAAGAACTACTGTCTGTGAAAATGTGCGCCCCAGTGGAGTAAATTCCATCTGTCTGTTTGAAGGGCTGTTTTTAACAATTACAGTTTTCCTAAGTTATAAACCAGCATGAGGCACAATAAACTATATAGAAGAACAGTGGTTGTCATCTTTCTGAATTTTTTTTTTTTTGCTTTTGCCTGCCAACTTTGAAAAGTTAGACTAATGGCATCTTGGGTTCTAAAGTTAAAAATCCTATGACCATCTGAAAGTCAAAGTGACCAGGAAATGCTGCATAATGTACGTCCTGTCCTCTTTTTACCCAATATCCCTTCGGTCTTGTGTACTATACAAATCATACCTGAGTTTGTTGCCTTCAAGTGCAGAGCACTTCAAATACTTTTTTGAACAACAGAATACACTCGTGCAGAACTAAGCTCTAGAGAGGCATACTTAAAATCATTAGTGGATAGCCTTAGTTCAAAGTACATCCATTGCTCCCAATTTATCTTATATTTTGCTGCATTTAATCTGACAGGTGATGAACCCCTGTTCTAATATGGAATCTCACACCTGCATTAACATTGTTGCCAGATCACTTACTTCTGGGTTCTCGAGGTCCATCCACCGTTATCTTGATGGCTCTGTGATACGTGGCTACTTGTGGAGGATTTGTAAAGACTGTGATGGTTAGGGTGAAGCTCTTCCCTGCAACAGGAAAGCACATTACTCTCTTACTGATAATTACAATACAACATGCACTGAGATAATTTGTATCTGTCATTTTCAACAGCTCGAAAACACATCATATTTTAGTCTCTATATATTATATATGTGTCCATACAGTGCAGCATTTCACATCCACTTCAGGGCAATCCAAGGCTGTGTATATTCCATACATGGCTACTGCTCCAAGCACGTATAACAAATTGATTTACATTTAATGTTATTTATACTTTGTAAAATACACAGTTTACAGCTGGACAGTTATATTTTAAATTATCCACACTACCACTTACAACTGATCTATGTTTGTTAAGGGTGTTAGTTCACAGAGCCCTATAAATTATGGCTGAGTTCCAAAGCTGCCTAAGGAATCTGAACACACAATTCCCATTAAATCAAAGGGATGTTCAAGTCCCCTAGGAAACGCTGAAAATCCCATGGTAGATGGTTCAAGCTAGTGTTGGATCAATTCTACAGAATAAACAGGAATCCTTTAAAATACAGAGAAATCTACTACCATAGCTCCAAGAAATTATAGAGACAAGATAAAAAAAGATCTCTATAGTTTGTCTGAAGGGAATTAAAGAGTTCCATGAAGACATAACAGTGATCTGATTGTTCTGGATTTCCTCCACTTCCTCCCCCTTGTTTTAAACCTGGACAAGAATATTTTATACAAACTCAGCTTTTTTATTTTATCCCTTTGTGGGTAAAAACTTGCTTCCTGGATTTCTATGGAAAGTTTTGCTAAGATATTATGATGGGTTTCACTATAATTCAAAGGGAAGACTTCAGATATAGTATGTGCATGCCATAGTTCTGAGTTTTGAAAATTAGTCGTTTGGTGGTTCAAATGGAGATAAGAAATTATGATATAGGCCCTCATTATTATAATGCATTTAAATATTTCTGCTTCTGTTTTGGTGCAAACTCCTTTTACTCTCATTTGTAAAATGGGGATACTACTACTACTTGCCTAGTGTTCTTCAGATTATTTAGTTATTGAATGTGTGGCATATTGACAATGTAAAGCACTGTATAAATATTAATCATTACTTTGGCATTTACAGAAATAAAAGGCTGACAGCACTACCTGTAGCCAGTTTTAGTATAGTTCTCTGAATGTCATGGGGGACATGGATAATCATAGAATTTTCAAGAAACATGGCCCTGATTTGGACAATGGGGAGTTTCAGATAATTGAGGTTATACTTGCATAGGCATGTGCTGTACAAACTTTCCCACACACCGCTACAAAAAGCACCTCATTGCTGGTCTCCAACATTCCTGTCAACCAAGTCTCAGGGTTCTTCTGATGAAAGCTTCCAATTGTTATAGTTTGCTTTGTTTATATAGATGTAGGTATACATCCACGTGTGACGAGAATAAGACAGTTTCACTTTCAATAGTATCTGAACTCAGTTCTTATCTAGGTATTGGTATGGCCCTCAGCACTAATATCTGAGCACTTTATAATCATTAATGGTTTCTGTCCTCACAATGTCCCTGTGAATTAGGATGGAGCAGTAAAGCTCAGGTTAAATAAGGGCTTGTTTACACAGTGCAGCAATGTGCTCTACAGGGGTGTGAATTCTAGAGCACACCAATGTGTTGTGCACTAACTGGCCCATGTAGATCCTGCTGACGTGCACTAAAAGTTTCCTAGTGCATGCTAATGTAGTTCCTTTCCAAACAGAAGTACATTAATGTGCCCTAGGGAACTTTCGGTGCACACCAGCAGGGTCTACACGGCCAGTTAGTGCACAGTGTGTTGATGTGCTTTAGAATTTGCACCCCCTCTAGTGTGCATTGCTACAAGCCCTAAGTGTCTCAGCCAACGATACACAAGTCTGTATCTGAGCCGGGAATTAAAACTCAATTCTTCTACATCCCAGTCCTGTGCCTTCCTAATACCCTTCCAACCTCTGCTGAAAGGTAGCTCCAGGTATCGGGAGGAGCTGTAAAGGTGGCATAAAAGCCACCTTTGATCCATGCCTCAAGACCGTTGACCCCTGACTTGGGTCCACTCAGCCAGACTCAAGGCCAATGTGTTTTTGACATTTTCTAAATACCAAATTGTATGAGAGATCATAACAATTATGTTGCCAATACTCAGACTTTTCTATGAGGGATCAAAAATAACTACTATTAAAAACTCCCCAAGAAAATTAACACCCAAAACATGAGATTTTAACTAATATTAAAGGGACATAATCAAGCCAAAAACATATCCTGCTTCTTTAGGAAAATATTTTACGTACTGTTATTTCAAGTAGCACCTAAAATGCCTATAACTGAAAGAGATTAGAGAAAAATAATACTTTTCTATTTATTAATCTATTTCTAGCTATAATGTTTCCAGTTTATTTACTTGGGACATATGATAACACTTAATGGGGCATTTTCACTGTTTCCCTAACACACTCATCAGTCCCCCTGTTGTTTCTGTAGGATTTTCACACATACAAGGAGTGAGAAAATATTTTTAATCGTTAAATGTGATTGTAAAATCAAAAAAATTACCATAGAGAATCAGGGCCAGGTGCAATATTTGTAACTCCTTCAAAGATATTCTTCAAAATTTATTAGATTTCAAAATGATGGTGCCTGTTGTGACACAATTTGGCAAAAGCAGGAAGACACTCCACTTACTTTTTACTGTTTATAGAAGTCTACTCATTAACCACATGCTGGTTAACCACAGGACTAAATAACCATATGCCTATGTGTCACTTACTGTTACTCTCTGACAATTCCACTGTAGTCCTCTGGCCATTTTGTTTAATTTGCATTTGGTTTTACTCATTACACATGTATTAACTATATGTCTGGTTGATTCAGGTAAAATTAGCTAGAAATGTATCCAACCTAATTTTACGTGAATTAATCAAACATACATGTGCATAAAGATCATAGGATGAATGCACCCCCAAACTTTCCCCTTGCATCTGTGTATTAGCATGCAGCCTAAATCTGTGATCTCATTTTTTCCTAGATACACATGTGCCTATTACACACAGAGATGTATACAAACACACATGATCTGTCAAAACTGGTTATTAAATTTTGGTTCAAAAGAAATATCAGATTAGTTTCTTGATAAATGACAGTCAGATTTCCCCAGCACACAGCCCTTTGTTAGCTAATGGAAAGAGATGAGACCCCTGTTTTAAACAATCCACAAAGCACAAATGGAAAGACTATGCACAAATGGACTAGGGATCATGCACACACAATATGTGGTAATTAAAATTGGAAATTACTGTGCATATGTAGGCATATTGGTTGAGAATAGTGAAATGATCTCATATGAGGTCCTTTCTTTAACACTGCTAATGAGCAAGATTTAGAGACTGCCACTCCCTCTGTAATTATCCATGGCAGCTCCTAACATCAAGGATGTGGCAGCTCTTGATCCCAAGGATAAAACTTTCAGGAGCCTGGGGCTTTTTCAACAGAGGGACCTTGGCTTTGGAATATACTCCCAGCAACAACAAGATAAGCCCAAGTCTTGCATCTTTAAAGGTACAGTACAAGATTCACTGTTTCAGTCAATCAGATCTGTCCCCAGTATTAGGGTAACACAACAGCCTGGCAATGTTTCTCCTGCAAGATCCCCACCATGATTCACTTGAAAAAACAATTTAACACGGGGAAGAGAACTAGCTGTATTTCTGGACAGTCAATAAGTAACACTTAATTTTGTATATGGTGCCTAGATACTACGTTGATGGCTGCATTAGAAACTACACAGGAATACTCTCTAGAGCCACTGGTGATTAAAACGTCAAAGGAAAAGATAGATTAAAAAAATCTTCTAAAAATCATAGCTTGATGGTCTAATGATAGTGCACTGCTCTGCCAGACAGGCATCCATACTTGTGTCCTGAGCTCAGTCATTTCCAGTCTGGCAGGGACTGGAAATGCAGTGAGAACCAGGGAAAAATGAGACACTTGAAGTGCCCTCCCTGTGCACCCTCTGGATGATGCTTGACATTGTGTTGAAGGGCTCTTCAGGGAGCTGCATTCCAGCCTCTTCAGCTGGAGAGGGGGTTGCTGTAATCTGGGGCCTTTGCAGCTTTTGAAAGGGAATGAAGTCAAGGTGGGAAAATAGCGAATCCTGGACAACAACCTCGTAACATGCAAAGAGGTTTTGTGTATTGCATTAGTCATCCCTGAGAGATGTAATTACAAGAACGAGATGGCTCTATGGATGGGAGGCATTTTTTAGAATGTGTGTGGATGCAAAGCAGCACACCCAGGCAAACTACAGAGAATGGCAAACAGAAAGTAGCACAGAAGACATGTGGCCAGCGGGGCTCGCCAGATGTTTTTAAAGGATGGTTTTCTGTCTTCTCATGTGGGTTGTGGTTGTGGAAGAGAAATAAGTGGGGGAGATGAGAGAAGAACTTTAGAGATTACAGACCATATTATGAGTGCTCCATTCCATTTTTATTCAGTCTTTTCTCAGGCAAAACTCCCAGCTCAATCAAGGGGGGGGTGGGTGGGAGGGGGAAGGAGTGTCTGAATGAGGATTGGACAAAACTGTAGTAAAAGCTTCAGGATTGGGCCAATAAGGTGCAGAAGGGAAAAAAAGCAAGAGAAGCTGATGATATGGTTACAATAGCTATATGTTGCTTTAGGATTTCTTTTGTCATAGAATATTATTGGTTTTCTTAAGTAATTACAATGCATTATTTTAACAAACTGGAAAAGAAGCAAAAATGGGAAAGGAGCCAAGAATGTTTGCACTGACAAGGCCAAGCAATATGGATGAAAAAATATGAAATGTAAAACAAAAATACACAATACAACACAGATGATATTATAGCTAATTCCATGATGTCTGAGAGAAGTTTCCACATTATAGTAAGAGAAATTATGGTACAATATTTTCTGCTACTACTTTTTCATACTTATGTGTTCATCTGATTTTATTAAACCGTGCTAAATGATGATAGTTATATATCTTTCAAACTTCT